GTGCGCGCGTGTGTGTGTGTGTGTGTGTGTGTGTGTGTGCGCGTGCGTGTGTGTTTTTTTATTTATTTTAGAAGCTACAACGGTAAGGCTCGTTTTGTTTTTGTGCACATAATAACATGTATTTCCGAATCAAGGGCGGATCCAGCTTTGGCGCCAGGAGGGGGTCACATAGTCGTGGGCAAGCTAAGAACTTATAATTTAATTTTGATAACAATAGATAATAAATAAATCATGATGTTCTTCAATTAGTCCAAGTTAGTTCAAGTCCTGGAACTAGCTCAGGGGGGGGTCATGACCCCCATGACCCCCCCCTGGATCCGCCGTTGTTCCGAATAGCGTACTAGAATACTTAAGCTTAATTTCTCTCATTTCATAATTAGCACGAAAATGTTGCTGCAATTCTCGATAATCGTCTATCATTATAACGTTGCCAGGACCGTGTGCGCAAGCCTCATTTCATTGCAATTTATTAGTAAACATGTGGTCCATAAATAAATATTTGAACTGAATTATTACTACTACTAAAATCACTTCATTAAATGCTTTAAAGTTAATAGATTGTTCGGTAATAGCGATAAAACTATACAGAGTGACGTATTTACAAAGTACATTTACGAATTAGCTATGAAAGATTTTTAAACGAATTTTTGTAGATTGGAAACACGAACAAATCTACACACGACGATGCCGATTGGGTTATTGAAGCCTTCGTCAAACAGAACGCGTACTTAGCGCCGCGTACTTAACGTCGCGCTCTTTTCATGTCACACCAATTGACTAGATGAGTCTAACGTTCCTTGACGCAACGCATTCGCCAAATCATAGTGCCTTTCGATAGCAGTGTGAAAATTTAAAAGTATTAAGAAATCGAGTGATTCAGATGTGGCATTGTATAAGCATGGGTATTTTCTAACTATTTATATCATTTTTTCGGGCATTATCTAGTATTTTAATACACATTCACTCGGACGCTAAAACAAAATTTGTAAAAAATTACAACGCCTGACGTCAAAGCGTCCTAACGCCGCGACAGAGTGCTGCGTACTTATAGCGCTGGGGCTCTGTTTGACGGTATGTTACCATATTAGTACAACACATCTCGGCGTCATAGCGCGGCGTTAGTTTAGCGCTCTGACGCGCGCTAATTACGCGTTCTGTTTGACGAAGGCTTAAGTGATGAAAAATGTTTGTTACAAGGCATCTAAAAATAACATCGAGGGGTGAAAGAATAATATTTAGTTTGAGTGACATTTTTGCAACTCTAGAGGAGAGCCATAAAAAAATAACTTCTTCAGCTGTTAGAATGGGACAAACTTTATTGAAGTTAAATTAAAAACTGCAATTGCTTACTGTTTAAAACGGTCCTTATATATTGCGTGATCAGCGAAGTGTCACTTAAACCAAAAAGTGACAATTTTACTGGTGGTAGGACCTCTTGTGAGTCCGCACGGGTAGGTACCACAACTCCGCCTATTTCTGCCGTGAAGCAGTAATGCGTTTCAGTTTGAAGGGTGAGGCAACCGTTGTAACTATACTGAGACCTTAGAACTCATATCGCAAAGTCGGTGGCGGCATTAACGTTGTAGATGTCTATGGGCTCCAGTGACCACTTAACACCAGGTGGGCTGCGAGCTCGTTCACCCATCTAAGCCATCAAAAAAAACCTTTCGCCCCTCGATATATAATTGGTGTAGTTTGATACAAATTCTAATAACGGTTCACTTGTAAAATCGAATATCCTCTTAAGGAAACCGCATTGTTTGTACATTAAAATTTACGTCATGGAAATGTTTACGTTTTATCGTATTGGATTTTGTAAATACGCGTCATACAGGAAGCACGCTTGGGTGCCGCTTCTGTAGTCGAAACTGGATCGCTACGTCAAACGAGAAGTAAGTTTGTACTGCGCCAGATTGTTGCGAAAATTGATTTACTCGTTCACGTTGTTGTTCTAGAACTTTAAGGGTGACGTCACTTGATATTAAGTTAGTGTTATAACTAGAATTCCGATTTTTTTTGTGGCTTATACGACAATTTTTTAAGCTATAGCATAGATTTTATCGCGGGCCTTGAGCGCGGCGACCGAATCACGAAATTCCGTAACGAAAAAAACCTTACACCCCTCACTCCGCCTACCATGTAGCTCGCGTTCAACACGTTCACACGTTGCGCTTGTGTAGTGTTGTGAATAAGCGCGTGGTGTGACGTCACACTGCATGCGCATCATGAAAAGTCTGCCCATCTCTCTCTCGCGCGGTCTAGCTTATGAGTGTGAAGGGGACAGTGAAGGTTTTGCTTTTATTAATGTTTAATATAGCGTGGTCTTGTTTTATTATTGTTTTAATATTAAATTATCATTGTCTAATTATAATTGCTTAAATTGATAAAAAATGCTACCTTTTTTCTTTTTTTTTTTTCCACGTGGTCTCACAAGAGGTCCTACCACCAGTAGTCACACCAATAAAATATGTAAAAATTGAAATTCATTCAAAAGATCTTGTTTATACTTTTCAGGTAAACCTAAGGGAAGATAATAATAATAGTTTCGAAGACCTTTCGTTAACAAAACTACTGCTCCCGAGAAATTGATTTTTCAACACGAACTATCACGGAATATTGTTAGTAGATCATAAACATACCATTATCTCATATCTGAATCGAAAGAAGATTCAACTACTACGTGGTTTAAATATTAAGAACAATTAAATATTCATATCATGCCAAAAACTAATTATGTCCTATTATGTGACTAGTACTTGTGTTTCAGAGTGCGATATATTGGTAGTTTTCCAATTACAGAGCATAATGCGACTCAGTGGCGCACAATGCCGAATTATGCTGAAGCATAATTGGAACGTGAATTAGTTTTCAAATGCATCAGCAGAGTGCGCTAAGTTAGCACAGTTTTAATTAACAATGATTATTTCTAAGAAACTACGACGAAATGAAAGCCTTACAATTTTTTTCAACATTAAATAATATTACTAACGATAATATAAACAAAATTTCGATCAATGCCAAAGAAAAAACACTTGTCAATTTTCTGTCACTGAGTCGGTATCGATTGCGAGTATCACGCGAGAGCAGCACTTTTGAGAGTGCTCGATTGTGCGAAGCGTTGCTGTAGTTGGAACATTCAACGTTGAGCATTATGCCGCATAATGCGCTCTTGTGCTGTAATTGAAAAACTACCATTGTTATCCCGACGTCATTTGGAGCTTATTGAAACACCTTTAGGCCCAAATGATGATATTCTAAATCACAGTTCCCGAGAGGTTAGAAAGTCGTTTTTCCCAATTGTCAAAGTTGATATGCACAAGGCGACGTCGCAAATATAGTATGTAAATTTAAACAAGACCCTGATTCAAGAACACTAAACGTTTAACTACAAAAAAATAATTATAATACAAACTCGAGCCAGTCATTTATATAAGCAGTTTCGGTGATTACCTTATTATAACAATGAACTGGTTTTTCCAAATTCACAGGGTTCAGTAGTATCAATGGAGAACCCGGAGATTAGTGAATATCTACTCCAAATCAGTGAAAGAGATATATATATATATATACTAGCTGACCCGACAGACTTCGTAGTGCCTCAATCGACAGTTATAAGACCTAAACTTTTGTATAAAATAAACTTAAAACAAACAAAAGGAATCCGTCCGACGGGGGACACATCGAAAGAAAAACAATCTTGTTGTTTTTATTTAATTCCGAGGATTTTCATATTTTAAACCTTCTCTGGACTTCCACAAATAATTCAAGACCAAAATTAGCCAAATCGGTCCAGCAGTTCTTGAGTTTTAGCGAGACTAACGAACAGCAATTAATTTTCATATAATATATAGAGAAATGTGTAAAAAATGCACGTGCACGCGAAAATGCTGATAGTTAACTGTTTCCAAAATTAAATAAAGTATCAGAAACCTACTTAGTCTACCACCGATTTGTACCCAAACCACCCATTTCTGCGGAGCAATGACGCACGCCGGTTTGAAGTATTGGACAACCGCTGTGCCATTGGAAACCTCGACTTTATGGACTGGATATTAGTATCCGAATTATCCTATCTATAAATTCCAAACATCAAATGCGCTGTAACCTCTAAAATAACCTTAGCTATTAAAAACTCGTAAATAGAAAAAAAAGATGTGTGGTCTCGTGGGACACCGGATAGGAACGAAGTTCCTTATTATAGAAATATTAATTTTAAGTTCTATTCGAGGTATAAAGAAAATAATTATTCGGTTATACATTTTTTATTATGACTTTTTTATTGATAGAAATTAAAAAAACTACTTTACAAAGTTATCAAATTTATTTTATTCATAATGATTTATAAAAATTATATAATAATAATATACAAAGAAACAGCTATTAATATGAATAATAATAAATAAGCCTAATTATGTTCTATCATAGAAATAATAATAACCGTCATCACTTAGACCATACATTAGACACTGTATAGCCGTCATACTAAGACTATACATAAATAATAAAAATCTTACGTTACGGACGTTTTTTCCGGTTAGGGTACATAATTCAGTGTTCTAAGAGCACCTGAAATAGTTATGTAAGATGTGAAATATCAGAATAAAACCCAAGTACTATTTCTATACGATCAACGAAACGAAACACAGGACGTACGCAATCATCTTAAGCCACTCCTCAATAATTAGATCTTACAGTAGAAATTCTGCCCCAGTGCAACTAACTTTTCTCAGTTAAACTCATCCCTATTATGTTCACGTCGGCTCATGAATCGATCTATAACTAGTCTAACAATAAAATATACACACATGTTCTATCGCCTACAGTAGGAAGTGTCAATAGTCATAATTTTTCGAAACACGACCCAAGTGAACCGCCGCTGAGCTCTACGCAAGAGCACGTATTAACGACAATAATATTTGTTTTCCTTATAACGACTCCACAAACTGGTTTCTTAGTGGATTTTTGCATGGCAACTTAATCACAGCGTTACATCCATTCGAGATAGTCGCCTTTAATATGAACGTGCTACTAGTAATATTGTTAAGCCTACTATTCGTTTGTGGCACGATCTGCGTACGTAATGAATACAAGAGGACGTATCTCTGGAAATTATTCGGCTACAACATTGACGGGGTTATATGTGAGTTATATACTGTTCGTTCTTTTTGTTGCTTAGAACTCTATTACTTACAATATCAAAATATTGAGTATTTTCACACAGACATTTATTAATTTATCTGTATATTGTGTACGTGTTTTAAATTAGATAAAATGATTTTTTCATTATATTTTCTGAATGTTTTATTGGAAGTAGCTGTCTAATCTAAACGATAGGGCATACGATCAATATCACGGTTCCGGAGATCTAATCCCACAAACTCTAGCAAACTAAAGAGTAATCATAAAGACAACATTAGCTTTGATGGAATCACTATTTCTGTGAATCAAACTTCATATTTAGGTCATTAAATTTTTATTTCCAATCCGTAAATCGATTCTAATCATTGCGACAGTTGATCTCGTTCATCTAGTTATGTGGCTAATTGTTTGGGATAAATGATCATTAATCTCGTCGGAATTTGCATTCAAACTAGTTCCGTAAGGCTATTTTGTAAACTAAGAGATAGATTCCCGGGTCCTTATTCTGTGTTACAGATACGAATGACTCGGACTTTGAACACAAACAAGGTACATTTACTTTTGAAGAAGAACTGCTGGAAGATCACGAAAAATTTTTGATTCGAAAGAACTTAGTTCCGAACCACATCAACTATAACCTCTTTCGTACAATAATATCTATTCCTAGGACAAGGCCGGGTAAGTAACCCTGTAATTATCACGAAATGCTTAAAGTGGCATGAATATTATATGGAATATATTTTAGTCTTCTCGCAAAGGAAAAGACCACCGTATATATACTTGGATCGAGCGATGTGTCTATGCCGGCAATCAAATCCCGCCATCAGGCACAGATTGTCTAAGGACATATTATTGTGTAGTCATATTATTGTGAACACCTACCTATTCACGAAGTAGCCCCATAATTGAATTTTGTACCGCATGTTCCATGGGGAGGGCTCTGAGGAATTATTTGAGATGATTCCATCATTCGTTTTTATCATCGCAGCGCCTGCCACTGGAGTAGAGTTCATCCATACTACCTGGAGTCACTGCGTTCATTCACAGTGCGTTTCCAGAGATCTTTCGTACCATCCGGCTTTGGAATTAGCTCCCCTCCACGGTGTTTCCCGAGCGCTATGACTTGTCCTTCTTCAAACGAGGCAATTGGGGTGTTTTTATTTTATTTTACTTCAATGCTTTCGTGCACCATACACGGAGTTAATTGGAATTAATTGACGGGGTCGAGAGCGAGTTCCTTCTACTCGATATCGAAACGAACGGTTCGACAAGAAGTCTCGTATGATGCGCACCAGTTTGTTTGGCACTTCCATGCTATACAGCTTGTAAATCAAACTGTTGTGCCAGAATTTTTCGAACATCTTTGTGATATCGAAGAAGAGGGCTCCGGTCGGGATTGGTTTCCGCCTATTTAGCCCTATGAATCGATAGATTCGAAGACATGCGATCTTTTTACCCACCGGGGTGGGCTCGGACACGACGACTATCATGTTATACGGCTGTTCGCCGCACCTGCTGTGCACCCGGTGCACACTTGTTACCGGGAATTCCTGCCCAATGAGGTCGTCCTTAGTGTGCTCGACATCGAGCTCCTTAGAAACTCGCGTAATACTACGCGGAGTTCGCGGTCCTCCTAAAGAGCATAGGTAACCTATGTTCTCCTTTCGGAGGTAAGCTGACAGGGCCCTATGATCGCCCGGCATTGCGACCATGATCTGAATCGATAACGTCGCGCATGGGTATAATTAATTTTTTGGCCTGAGAAACACGGTCCCACGCTGTCTTCTCCTAAAGTATCAGCGGGGGCGGGGCAACAATTTTTGGCGCGGGTGCGGGTTTTTGTCACGGTGACGAGACGAATTTGTTCGTCTTCTCTATTAAAATTGGGATGTTTTATTATTATTTTGTTTCAATGCTTTTGCGCACCAAACATGGAGTTAATTGGTTTTCTTTAGCGAGTATTTCAAATTTGTCAAATCATATAAAATAATTAGTACTGCTCCGATGATACTGACACAGAAACTGTAGATATGTGAACCTGGTCATTCTTAACGTCCGCAATCTGTTTAACTCTGACCAATCGATTTTTATGACCAAAATATGTTTTTCAGGTATACCGTTCACCCTCAATGAGATACCATATTTTAGCATATATAACACTAATCACAGTCCTTTGCTCAAGCCTTATCCGTCGTCTAAAGAATCAAAAAACATTATATCGGTTTATGAAACCGCAATCGATGGATGTGAAAGGTATTGGTTCGTTGACACAGGTTTCGTGGATATACCTTTTTTTTTTTTTTTTTTTTCGGGTAGAGGGCCGAACCTCCTACGAGGTCCCCGCGCAAAAGGGGCGCGCGGGGTATGTGAGACTCAACGATCTGCATGGTGTTGTGAGCAGACCGCGGGCCCAAGGATTTTAGAGCCCACCCACTAAACGACTCCCCTGCACTCTTACACCCGACGTCCGATCCCCTCCGAGGTCANCACCTACACCTAACCTACCTCCCTAACACCTAAGAATCCTTGCAACGAAAAAGACCGGACGATACCCCTGGGAGTGGGACTGTTCCCAGAGGATCCCGTTATCCGCCACCTACGGACGCGCCCGGTGGAAGTCCAGCAAAACTCCCCCACAGACGGAGCCCCCGGCCACGCAGAGTGCGCGCCGGGGGGCCCGCCCAGGTCCCTCGGGTCGTGGATATACCTGGTATGGATATTTTTTTTTAATTATGAAAAAGTAATGAAATTGGTGTACTTATAATTACTTATCGACGTATACCGCCGATAGAAACAAGTTTGTTGCAGAAGAACTCGATGGGAATATGGCGAACCCTAGGGGCGAATTATGTTGAACAGTAAATAACGATGATGCTGATGACAATAAAGGAGTTATCGATCAATTCCATTTTCAGAGGCCTTTTATATTTGTATTGCCTCAATCCTATTATTAAGTAAAGCTAGTCCAACCCTTCAAACTTCTTCAAATAAGACACTGTAAAGTACAATCGGAAACCATAAGAAATGAACTTTATTTTTATTTAGTAATGCGTATTATAGACTCCTGCTAGGGAGAACTGTTGAGTCTTTAATACTAAATGCAGCACAAACACTTTCAATCTAACATTTCTGTAGTAACCCACCCATTATTGATGACACCCTGTTTTATTGAGTGCTCTGTCAAATTTTGAAAATTATTTTAGGTGTAAGGGAACAAGTCGTGCCTCCCAGCATTTACGTGTTTCAGGACCGAGATAATTATCTTCTACATACATCTAATATAGATGCAAGCGTTCTTAAAGAAGGAGTATCGGCAGGTAATATGAAAAAAAGTGTTCATATAATATTTATTATGATAAAGATAGAGAGGCTGAAGCAGCAACATGAAGTTTTTTTTATTTGTTTGGGTGGACGAGCCCGCAGCCCATCTGGTGTTAAGTGGTTTCCGGAGCCCATAGATATCTACAACGTAAATGCGCCACCCACCTTGAGATATAAGTTTAAGGTCTCAGTATACTAACAACGGCTGCCCCACCCTTCAAACCGAAACGCGTTACTGCTTTACGTCAGAAATAGGCAGGGCGGTGGGACCTACCCGTGCGGACTCACAAGAGGTCCTACCACCAGTAATGACGCAAATTATAATTTTGTGGGTTTCATTTTTATTACACGATGTTATTCCTTCACCGTGGAACTCAATCGTAAACATTTGTGAAGTACGTATTTCATTAGAAAAATGGGTACCCGCCTGCGGGATTCAAACACCGTTGCATCGCTAGATACGAATGCACCGGACGTCTTATCCTTTAGGCCACAACGACGAAGTACTCTTAATTTAGAAACCATTGAACATGTTATATTTGCCCAAACATGTGTTTCGCGGTAAGCCAACATGGGCCTCGTTGAAAATAAGTAGCTACTACCTCCCATGTTCGGGTTTGGGTATTGAGGAAATTTACAACCTGGAGTATTATTGAAGAAACCATATTAGACGAACGTAATAAGCATTTCCATAGAACACTCACTGATTTTATTGGACTCAAAGACATTATTGATTTTCAAATCTTTACTGAAGACTCCTTGGAGTAGCATGGTTAACAAAAAAACAATATTCTTTTTTACGCTACGCTTATGTTTTTGGAACTATTTACACAATATTACATTTGAAATTTCTATTATTATTACTGTTATTTAATCATGAAAATAACAATTTTCATATTCTTTGTTTTTTTAGTAAGCAGGCACCGACTTGGCTGTGCCCCAGGCCTTGCTGACATCCATGAGCGACAGTAACCAATTACCATTACAAGAGCTGTATACTTGTCTTCCAACCAAGGCAAAAAAAGACGATCCTCCGCCTCACTTCAGCGGTGACCGTCACTCATAAACACCTACAATGCCAAAGAGATTGGTTAGCCGCTAAACCGCAAAAGACTTTCCTCAAAACTCTAAGCAACAACCTCTTATAATCCTAAAGAAACAGCAAAGGAGCAATTCTTAACACTGCTAGATGGTACGTGCAGAAGAAAATACCGGAAAGGCTCTGTGGATAAACGCAGTGCTGCTTGGTAGTATCCGTAAGCTGAGAGGTTTCAGCGCGATACGTGAGAGGGGGATCATCGACAAGCCGAGCGGCTCTTTTCTGTATTACGTCAATGAAAGCAGCCAACGGTTGCGGGCGGTACTCCACGCGAGGCCAAACTGTGCAAGCTTTGTCAAACCTTTGTAAAGCGCAAGTTTTGGTCCAAGCTCGAAGTACCGGTTCGCTATGTTAAGGGTTCCTAACATTTTAGAAGTATACATTATTTAATTAACCAAACAACAACGATATTGATGAACAGTACTCAAATTATGAACATTTAAATAGGTCTTAGGTCTCTGACGATCGACTACATATTCCCTTGTAACGAAACCTTCGCGTACATCAGTGACGATAACGGTGACGCTGTCATTGCCTTTTCGTTTGAGGAAAAACGTTTCTGGAGGATCGAACGTCAAATCACTGGAAGCGAAGCTTGGACTTTCCCCATACCGCGTATGTTTTGAAACAAATAAGTATAAGTAATATGACGTTGTCAAACATGTGGCATCTATTGACCAAATGCAATAAAAAAAATTGGCTTGCGACATTTCGGTTCAGCTTAGCTAAGGCGTCTGTGTTTGCTGATGCAGGGGATACGACTGCTTCGTCAAGAAGTACATACTGACAAAGAATGGGCAGCTACATCCCGTGACAAATATACCAAATATCTACGATCGGCATCGGGAATGCACCGGTAGTGGAGCCTATCAGTTTGAAGAATAGTGCAGTGCTATAAAATTGACATTGCTATCCCAGGACTCAGGGACATCGTCGATATTCAAGTCACTAACGGTTGTGGGTTGGACTTAGGGATAACCGGCTGACATCAGGTTGGCTGTGAACTTGTATAGGAGGGGCACGTGATCATGAAAATGAATCAAATTTTACCAGTGATGGCTTGTGTATACCTGGCAATTTAAACAAAGGACATTGAAAAGGAGCCTGAGTAATGAAAGATGTTTAATTTTACAGAATCCATTTTACTGTACGCTGAAAACGTTATAAGATACAGGAAAAGTCCGAACGAGACATTTGTACATTATTCAGATATTTTGAAAAATACGAAGATTTCTCAACGTTCCGGCCAAGATGTGACCGTGGTAAGGGTTCACNTATACCTGGAAATTTAAACAAAGGACATTGAAAAGGAGCCTGAGTAATGAAAGATGTTTAATTTTACAGAATCCATTTTACTGTACGCTGAAAACGTTATAAGATACAGGAAAAGTCCGAACGAGACATTTGTACATTATTCAGATATTTTGAAAAATACGAAGATTTCTCAACGTTCCGGCCAAGATGTGACCGTGGTAAGGGTTCACGAGCAACGTGATTTGTATTGTATTATGCGGAGTTAGACAAGAATAACTTAAACTTGAAAGAGAATGCACAGATTGGCACACTTGTGCCATTTAAATTTCAATGAGACATTGAGCTCATTTTTAAGAAAATATTATGGAAATTCCTCAAATAACTAGTCATTTCTCCTATACTCCTAAATCTCGCAAATTCGATAATTTTCTTGCTTTAAAAATTTTCTGGAAACTATTCATTGTCATTGTTCATGTACTTAAAAAAATGACTAAGGTGACGTAATACTACGCACATAACGATATATAATTTAATATATTACTATAGTAATATGTTGGGGAAAAAGTCTTTTCGCATTATAGTATGCATGAACTTGTAATAAAATCTCTTTGGCTATACTAAATGTATCTGGCTGGTTTTATTTTAAAGAAGATAATTCCAAATTCAAATTAGGAAAATGTGTGATTTTTATTTATTTTTCGTACTGTAAAGATTAATGAATCTAATGAAGAAATTCGATATATTTTAAAATTTTACAAAATAATTTGCGGTGTTTATGGACCTAGTGCAGTGTCTGTGAGAGTAGCACAAATTTGGTTTAAGCGTTTTCAATCCGGAAATTTTGAGGTCAAAAATGCACGTCGTCTGGTGGTCTGGTCCACTGTGTGGTCTGGTGGTCTATTACGGATAAAACGGATGCCATTTTTGAAAAGGTGGAACGAGATCGGCATATCAGTAGTCACGACGTAGCTGAAGAACTGGGTATTGACCACAAAACAGTTTTGGCGCATTTGAAAAAGACTGGGTACACAAAAAAGTGCGATATTTTGGTACCTTACAAGCTCACTGAAAGAAACCTAATGAACCGCGTACTCATTTGTGATTCTTTATTACAACATAATGAAACCGAACCATTTTTGAAGAAGCTGATAGCTGGTGATAAAAAGTGGATCACGTACGACAAGAACGTGCGAAAAAGGTCGTGGACAAAGGCCGGTCAGGCTTCACAGACTATGGCGAAGCCCGGATTAACGGTTAACTCGCAACAAGGCGATACTGTGTGTGTGGTAGGATTGGAAGGGCATTATTCATTATGAGGTGTTACCACCAGGCAGGACCATCGATTCTGAACTCCACTGCGAACAATTAATGAAATTAAAGCAAGAAATTGAGAAAAAGCGGCCGGAATTCATCAACAAAAGGGGTGTGGTTTTTCATCATGATACCGCTAGACCTCACATATCTTTAGCCACTCAGCAAAAATTAAGAGAGGTTGGCTGGGAGGTGTTAATGCATCTGCCATATAGTCCTGACCTTGCACCTTCAGGTTTCCACCCATTTCGGTCTCTTCATAATTCTTTAGGCAGTGTCAGGTTAACATCACGCCAAAACCAATTGTCGCGGTATTTTGATCAGAAGCCTCAAAATTTCTATAGTAATGGGATCATGTCCCTACCTACAAGATGGCAAAAATTTATCGAATAAAATGGTACCTACATACTTTAGTTAAATGTAAATAAGTTATATTAAAAAAATTGTGAATTTTCTTAAAAAATGCGATGAAATTTTTTCCCCAACATATTATATATAAATAATATACCTAGTCTTGCCATAAATACTGTTACAATAAAAAATAAAAAAACGATTGCAAATAACATTTATTACTTTTACAGTGTGTTAGTTTAATACATAAATATAAAACAATTAAAAGTATAAAAGCTTATTCGAAGTGGTCTCCATTGGCTGCAATACAATCCTTTAAAGGTTGAGGCCAGTTATCAATAGAACCACGTACTCTTTCCATGGGATTCCATTCTCTTTTCACTGCCAATCGTACGGATTGTTTTAGGGACTCCAAATTATAATGGCGTATAGAGCAAGCCGTACTCTCTAAAACTGACCATAAATCATAATCCAGCGGATTAAGATCGGGACTAGACGACGGCCAGTCTTCACCTCTGATGAAGTCCGAAACGTTCGTTTCCAACCAAGACTGCGTAGACCGAGCTTTATGACCTGGCGCCGAGTCTTGCTGGAAGGACCGTTCTTGATTATTGAACATGGTGTTGTTAAGGGGCTTCACTACCTCCTCAAGAATGGTATCTTGATACACTTGTGCCGATGTTTTGATACCTTTTTCTCAAAAGTATGGCCCAGTCACTCCTTCATAGCTAATACCCCACCAAACCATCACTGAAGTCGGATAGTGCCCATGTTGCACTCTGTCGACTAATTGGGAAGCTTACTTAGAGCTTTGAGCATAAATACGGTCATTTTGTTTGTTAAAATGTTGCTCAATTGTAAAAAAATTCTCATCCGTAAACAAAATTTTTCTATGACCACCCTTTGCGTACCGCTTCAGTAGTTGTTTCGATTTTACCACCCTATTCTCTTTTAAATTATCAGTTAAGAAATGACCAGTACGTCTCTTATAGGCTGCAAGTCCTAAGTCATCTTTTAAAATACGTGACATGGTTCTAGGTGCTATCTTCATCTCCCGAGATAAAATCTTTTGCTTTCGGACAGGATTTCTTCGAATTCTTTCCCTTACTGCTTTGACCACCTTTTTCGTATATATATATATATATAATGACTAATAGTAGAGCAGTAATAGAGCATGGAAAATTTTATGTTGGATGTATAGTATAATTAAAATAACAGGCTTGTTTTTTCAGGATCTCAGTGAAATAAATACAAATCCAAGAGGAATTTTATACGACAGGAGTTATGACGGTAGCATTTTATTTTTCACGGATGAATCTCGCACTAATCTGTACTGTTGGAACATGGACACGCCGATGGATGAAGACAACATTGAACTGCTCACTGATATTTCCAGGGACAACAGCTTTTATATAAGCGGTAATCATTTAAAACACACAACCCACATTGTGTATACAAATATTAACTCATTTATTACCAAAACAAAATTACACTTTGAAAATCCACGAAGCTCATACTAGGCAAGCCTGTATCGTGAGCACTTAAGACAATTTAAGTCGATACGTTTTACATACTGGTGGTACGACCTCTTGTGAGTCCGCGTGGGTGGGTACCACCACCCTGCCTATTTCTGCCGTGAAGCAGTAATGCGTTTCGGTTTGAAGGGTAGGGCAGCCGTTGTAACTATATTTGAGACCTTAGAACTTATATCTCAAGGTGGGTGGCGCATTTACGTTCTGGATGTCTATGGGCTCTAGTATCCACTTAACACCAGGTGGGCTGTGAGCTCATCCACCCATCTAAGCAATAAAAAAAAAATTAATAGTCAAGAAACTACCGAAAACATCAAGAAAAGCACAGCGGTGCTCTTTAAAAGGCGTCGCCCTCCGAATACCACTTCGAGCAGCCTACTCCCTAATAGGCGCGTTAACACTTACGCCGTTAGCCCCATCACTCTCTTTGGCCAGCTCATATCGTGGGTCTCGAAGGTCAAATATCTAGGCATCACCCTCGACAGAAGGATGACATTCCGACTCCACATTAAAACGGTACACGACCGTGCCGTCTTCTATATTAAGTAAATTGTCAATTTGTAAATTTTTACGTTTTACGTGTGTTACGTGTAAGCTATATTATTGTAAAGTTTCATCAAGATCCATCCAATAGTGTTTACGTGAAAGAGTAACAAACATATATCGATACATTCTTACAAACTTTCATATTTATAATACTAGTAATTTTTTTTTAAATAAATAAATAAATAAATATTTACTAACAATCACGCAACGTTAACTGGTCCCGTGATAAGTTCGTAAAGAACTTGTATTACAGGTACCAGATAACGGATATAAATGTAAGATTTTTATTATACACATACATAATATATTTAATAGACATCCATAACCCTGGAAAAGACATTTATATTTATCATACAAATATCTTCCCTTGGCGGGATTCAAACCCGCGACCCCCCTGTGTAGTGACCACGTCACCACTACAACAGACGGCCGTTAAATATATATATATAAATATTTATGTGTTCGATAAAAATAGTAAATATGTAATGCAGCTTTAACTAACCTTAATGTTTCAGCTATGAACATCGTAGGAAGGGGATTTCATTTTATGGTAAACCGATTTAGGAACTCGAGTAATAATATTTATGACGAAAACAAAATGAACTTTGCTATGTACAAGTAAGTTTAAAAAATCTTTTTCGTTGACGGAACTATCATGGGATCAATTTAAAATGTATTTTACACAAAATTAAGGAGATGATTAATTCAAAATGGAAGTTAGAGTACATTCTTAATTTGATAACAATCTTAACAGTAACAATAACACAATAATAACAATTCCAGGGCCGATGTATATGAAATCTTCAATAACTCAAAATGCAACAAACCTACTATATGTTCCGAATTCCTTGATATTTGGGATGACAAAGTCAGAGGCATCTTGTCTCCATTCAAATACATGGTTAAATATTTACGCGATGAGTACCTAGAATCAGAAAGGAAAAAACAAATACGCCTTGGATAATTTATTAATTATAACTTTTAGTTTTTAGTAAATAAATATTTGAATAGCATTTCAATGAAATAGAGAAATAATGTTTTCTTTCATTAAAATTATTATCTCATAAATGATCTCCAATAAAAAATAGTGAAAGCAGAAAAAGAAAGTCTATATTTTAGCACGTTGCAATGAATATATCTCTGGACCTGGTACCGATACGTTAGTATCATAAGGAAGTGGCAGAACGATACTTCAAATTCAAATTCAAACCGACCGCGAGCGATGGGGCACCGCAAAGTCGCCGTCGCCCGAAATGCATATATTTTGTCGGATCCCCCGGATTCACTCTCGGTACTTTTAGGCCTCTCAAGTACCGGTCACCGTCCTCGTCGAATTCGTCGATTACGATGAAGAGTTCGACGAGACACAGCCCACTGAGTTCCTCGTCGGATCTTCTGGGGTCGCGATTCCAAACCGGTGGTAAATTCTGCGAAGCACTGCACTTGCTAGGGCTAGTGTTAGCAAATTCTCTTAGGTTGAGCCCGTGAGCTCCTTACCCGTCCAGGCGTAGCTGGAATAGTTTTTTAGACTACCAGCTAATAGGTAGGCAAGAAAACGTAAAACTCATGCCAGATCCGTGTACTACAAGATAAGACGATATGTCATGCCATTAAGTGCTATTTAATTTTGTTGAAAAATGTTGTAGTGCTCAACAAAGCTTTGCACCAGCTTTATCACTTTATTGATATACTTAACCTACTGATATGTCTCATCATCATCATAATCGGTTGCTCTTGGCAGAACAGTCGTAGTCATGTGGAATTCTTGCTTATTAAAGCCTTAACAGATGTTTTCCATAGTTTGCGAACCGAGGCCCGGCGAACACACTCGTTAAGTGGGGTTTCAATAAGGTCTTTCACCTGATCAGTCCAACGCATGGCGATTCGTCCACGAGATCTCTTACCATTGACCCTACCCTGAACAACAAGTTTCTCGATAGACTCTGATATGTCTAATGGACCTCAATTTATAATATTAATAAGTGTTATTAATTAAATCAAATCAAATCAAATCAAAGCCGGGACCTGGACACTCACAACAGGGTTGGTCCGAAAGTATAAAGCTTCTTAGCGTACTATGGAACGAGCTATACTCTATGGTACCTACTATAGAACGAGCTGTACTCTATGGTAACTACTATGGAACGAGCTATACTCTATAGTACCTACTATGGAACGAGCTATACTCTATGGTACCTACTATGGAACGAGCTATACACTATGGTACCTACTATGGAACGAGCTATATACTTTATGGTACCTACTAAGGAACGAGCTATACTCTATGGTACCTACTATGGAACGAGCTATACTCTATGATACCTACTATGGAACGAGCTATACTCTATGGTACCTACTATGGAACGAGCTATACTCAATGGTAACTACTATGGAATGAGCTTTAATCTATGTTTCTTGATAGAATCGTATTCGGATCAAATTCATTCGTCAGAGATAGCTCAACGCATAAGCGAGCTGAAGTTGCAATGGACGGGTCGTATCTGATGCAGAAGCGATAACCGTCAGGAAAGATGAGTTTTGCAATGGAAACTGCTGACCGGTTAAAGTAATGTAAGTCGCTCAACAACTAGATGGAGGGATGAAATAGACAGAATAACGGACAGTGGATGGAGACGAAAGCCCCAGGACCCGGTCGCGTGGCTTACCTTGAAAGAGACCTGTGTGACTAAAATAGACTGTTAATGGAAATTTTATTTTATTTAACTTACTATAATATGTTAAAAATCACAAACCAAATCCAATAATTCTAATAATGTTCTATTTTGAAGTTGGTATCTGACTTTTGGTCTAAGATTTTGATTTAACAGTAAAGAAAAGTCGAGAACAGTTTCCCATAGAAAAATGTCCTATCGTTCTTTTAAAATGGCCACGATTTCTCCGATATTGCCGACTTGCACGAGTGACCATTACGAAGGTTAAGCTAAGATAAACCTTGTGGCGTTATTGTTAGATCTTATTTAGAATGTTACGTGATGAATTCAAGAAAAAAATGGAACGTTCTAGGCGCAAATCGCACTCAATGGGATTCCTAAAAGTGGTATTAATCTTAGATGACGGAGCCTCGGGTACTTCTGTAATGGGATGGATAAGTATAGATCTTAATATTATAAAGCTGAAGTGTTTGTTAGTTTGGTTGAACGCGCTAATCTCATGAACTACTGGTCCAATTTAAAAATTTATTTAGTGTTAGATAGCCCATTTATTAAGAAAGGCTATAGGCTATATAACATCACGCTAAGACCAATACGAGCGGAGCATTAATAAATAACGTTACAAAATCGTTTTTTTTTTTCAACTCAATAAAATTGTTCTCTTTAACAAGTCTTAGTTTAATGTACAAAATAATCATTGATTCATTTCAGTCCGTGTTTCATTAACTCAGAATAAATATCCCTTGGTATTTATTTACCTTCCTTCCTTCTTCTTGGCTATGCTTTACCTACCATTTAAATACAAGTCACTGTGTTTATGTAATTCCGATTTAAACATTTCCACACATAAACATAGTAATACGTATTTTATAAGTACTTGATTATCAATTTATGTCAAAATAAAAATAGCTTTTTATTATTATTTGATCGTCATATTATAATATACTGGCGGCCCGCTCCAGCTCCGCTTGGTTCTTATATATTTGACGTTGTTTTATTTTTTTAAATAAAAGAAAACTTTTTGCGGCATAACTATAATAGTTAGACGTATGCTGCCGCGACGCTTTTTGTAAATAATAATATTGTGTTCTACAAAGTCGTAGTACAGTATTTTATTCTATCATCAATAGTTTTGGCAGGGCACGCGATGAAAAGAATATTTTAGGTAGTTTTTTTACATCTTGGATTACATTATTGGAGTTTGGATCCCTAATTTTTTTCAAAAAAAGATTATAGCCTTGTCACTCGGGAATAGTGTAACTTCCAAGCAGTGAAAGAATTTTACAAATCGGTTCAGTAGTTTGGGAGCCTATTCAATACAAACAAACAAACAAATCTTTCCTCTTTATAATATTGATGATTGATGATGATAATAATAAGTATAAGTAATAAGTAGTAATAAGTAATTAGTATAAGTATAAGTATAAGTATAGAAGTATAGATAAGAGCTTGTTAATAGTGAGCTCTCAAACTTCTCCCAATAAACCACACTGACCTCCATTCTCAGATGCTCACTTATGAATCATGTGCTCACTATTGGCTTTTGAATCTTCGTTCCCAAGATTTCTCTATTATTAAGTGAATTTTGTACAGCCAAATTAAAGTGTGTAAAATCACAACAATATCTCACTTATATTACAATCAATGCTATAATTTCATATTCGTTTCTTTTCCTTATAGTTACATACATACAAACTCCACTTTCATGCGTATAATATAACAATGACATATCAGGTAAGCCGCGGCGGATCTGAAACTACATTGACACCTCCAATAAAAGCTGCTCCTGGCGCGCTATTGAGCACATAAACACGGATATCAGGAAACTAGATATGAAAATTTTGCATTAATGTAGACATGTTTACTGTTGGTGGGACCTGTTGTGAGTCCGCGCGGGTAGGTACCACTGCCCTGCCTATTTCTACCATGAAGCAGTAATTCGTTTCGGCTTGAAGGATGAAGCAGCTGCTGTACTTGAGACCCTAGAACTTATATCTTAAGGTCGGTGGCGCATTTACGTTGTAGGTGTCTATGGGCTCCAGTAACCACTTAAATTCAGGTGGGCTGTAACCTCGTCCAACCATCTAATCAATAAAAAATAAAATAAAAAAATCGATGTTAAACGATAGTTTCAGGGAATCGCCGAAATGAACCATAATTGGGTGTTGCGATATGTCGCAGTTTCATGATTTTAACCTTCCGAACGACATGTTCACACCAAAGCTCGTTCTCAGTCTAGACCAAAAACAAATGTGACAAAGGGGTATTTAAAGGGGCGCATCCAAAATCTGGAATGACTTGCCTCCGCCTTTGAGAAGTAGAGTCTCACAAGGATTAAACCCCTTCAAATATTTTTATACGGAATTTCTGCTTAAGCAACAAAGTGCGGAGGCAGGGATTTTGTAGATTATGCCATATGTTTAAATTTAGGTATTATTAGATTATTTTTTATAGATTAGTGTATATTATTTTAGTTTTAGTAGTTTAGTTTATTATTTTATAGATTAGATTAATTTATAGATTACAGGCAGCGGCAGAATAGCAGCGATAGTTTCAGCTATCACAAAGCTGAGCCGCGGCCTTTTTATATCCACTGTCAGTATAATTAATATATTGTAATATTGTTTAGATAGAATTAGAAATTTAGGTCATATTAATTGAAAAGTTATTTGTATTGTGGAGTAAATATATGTAATTATAAAAATGTAATTATTTAGTGAATTAGTTACATCTATGCATCTAGTTTAACCACTTCAACGCTTACGTTATACGTATGAGGCCGCATTCGTACACCCACTGCATATATTAAATTTTCCTACGTTCCGTTACAAAAAGCTTGATGATCCATTATCAAAATAGTCTACCTGTAAAATAGTCTAGTCTAGAAGTAGGTGACGGTGTTCTCATTAATTTACTTCGCTTATAAGTTCAAATAAGTTGCTCGCCTGCTCGGCATTAAAAAAAAAAGTGTCTGTGTGCAAGTCACACACGGTTGAAGTGAAACTTATAAAAATAAAAATAATCGTAAGGGTTAACCACTCCGCAGTGCAATGGAGCAGCCTCACCCTGGGGGAACCGCCTGCATGATCACGGTATCCTTACGCTAGGTAAGTATGATTTAGCAAGAGAAATATGACAACGTCTATCAACTGTGTAACAAATCGTCACCGCGATTCAGGAATTGTTGAATTTACGCGCAGCGAAATCTGTTGATAACAAACTAAATAGAAATAAAAGTATATCAGGGCGCTCCGAGAGCCAAGACAGCGTGCACGGACGTCAAAAACACACTGAACTAGTCGGGGACGCGAGAACGTGTGGAGCGCTTCGTGATTTGTCGGCGCCGCTCGGAGCCACTTCGGCAAGCCAATCGCGGCGCACTTATTTTTTCGTTTCATTTCATTTCGTTTCATCGAGTTTGAAATCACAACGATTCTAAAGAAGTTTCACTTAAAAAAATTGAATACTGAAAGGCAGTAACAACGAGTACTTGTCGAGAAAGCATTAATAGCATGTATTAATGTGTAGCTTTTCTATGTCGTTTCTCTATCAGCAATATATCATTGTAACTGTAAGTTATCGTATGTGTGTGCATATAATAAACGACTCGGAAACCGCAGGGTGGTGTTCAA